GTTTTGTTTATTTAGATGTGTGATGACTGTCAGCGTGCGGAAGCAAAGGATTTTTGGCGTGCTTGTGTTCAAGTTCGTCAGAAGTGTGAATTTAAAAAAACACTATTTTATCTCGAACAACTAGTCCTGAAACACCGTGCTCATCTCAGCACAACGGCTATCAAGCCTGTCTCTACAGGGGTTGATTTCTTTTATGCAAAACTGCAAGATGCCAGAAAGTTCGTTGATTTCATCACCGCTCATTTGCCATGTAGATATTCATACGCGCAGGTATGAGCAGGTTACTGTCTTTTTCTAAATCCTTTTTCTCGGTTTCAGTTTTAAGGTTTTGATTCTACTTTGAAAACTTGAATTTTTGTTCCGGTTCTTACTTTTTAATGAAGAAGAAAGCAATCTGCATATCAAGATTTTCTTATCTGTATGGTCGGACTGTGAGTAATTGCTAATATTTTTTGAATAGCGATGATTTAGGTCGTGATGTAATGCTTATATTATAATAAGAAAATGTAATGCTGTAAAATATATAAGTGAGGAGTGTTTATATTGTTTATATTATTTATATTGAATGCAGGAATTGGTGACACATGATGTCAAGAATAATACTTATGACTACAAACATACTTTCTGCGTAGAGGTAGTACCCATATGTCGTGGTGATTTGATATGCCTACCGAAGAAGATAGCGCAGGCTTTGGGTAATATGAATCAGATGGTTGTATGCGTCAGAGTTAACAATGTCGTCGGTGTTATTGATCCGAGCACTTTGCAGATAGCAAATGTTAATGCGTTAGTCAAATGTTTTTTCTTTTTTTCTTAATATTATATGTCTCCACAGGACGGTAAACATTGTATTGATAAAAACATCCATACGAAGTTGAAATTTCTTAAATTATATAGTTTTAGAGCAGAAATTTTCAGGAATGTAGTCATTTTTTAGAACTCAATATTGGCGTGATCCCTTTCAAACTTTATGTCAATCAAAACAGTTGAGCGAGTTCTACGTAGTAGATGTAGAATATATTGATTTTATTCAGTTGACTGCAGGATGTAGTCATTTGTCGACGAAGCATCGTTTAGCCGACATTTGGGTAGTTCCTAGCAATCAGGTATGTACGACTTTGTATTTTACTGTGTTATAGCTTTCCTTTCTACTGCAAAACTGACTTTTACTTATGACATGTCGTACCATTATTGGTTGGTTATAAAGAGTCTTGACAATGGGCTGGCAACTTAAGGCGCTCTTTTATTATTCATCGCATCAACCGTTCTTGAAATTTACTAGTTACAGATTGGACAAGATAATCAAGAGGTCTGCACGCGATCTCATCTTGGACATTTGTTAAAACCAGGCGATCTTGTGTTAGGTAAAACATCGCAACCTTTCGTCCTTTTTTCTTTAGTCTTTTGTTCAGCTTTGCTTACATTAATTGTTTTGAAAAAAATAAAGCGTTTTTTTTTTTGATTGAAGGATATGATTTACGCAATAGCAACGTGAATAGCTCATTGCTGGACGACATGGAAACGGATAAAATACCTGATATTATCTTAGTTCGGAAAATTTACGATCGGTCTGTACGACGAGAACGACGTAACTGGAAAGTGAAACGACTGATTCAAAACGACAGTGATGTTTATGATAGCTCTTCTCTAGACAACGAATTCGAGGTAAGGCTTTTTCTATTAGAAGGGATTAGATTTGCTGTAAAGTATCGCAAAAATAATAACTCGCTGCTTAAGAAAAAAAACGATCAGCTGTGTTGCAGAACTTTCTGGAAGATTTGGAGGAAGATGAACAAATGAGACAGAAGATCAACATTTATTGGGACAATGAGAAAGAACAAGCAGTTTGTTCTAAAGATATTGCATTAGATTTACCACCGGGTCCTTCGCTTCACGAAATGTTGAATGATCTTGACCTCAGTGCCGATATTGAAATGAATTAATGAAATCAAGCTTTTTTCCATTTTTTATACGTTTTTACCATACTGATGTGAGATACTTTGATTTTAGAAGCTCAATAACTAGGAGACTATATTAACATCACCTGATATTTGTGTATCTTACAGTTCCTTTACCGTATGCGGTATACTTTGCATTTTCTTGACAGATTTGTTGAGATTCTCAAAGTGTCGGGAAACCACGTTAACCAGATGTGAGGCTACATTATTGTTATTGCATTATTTTCTGCTGATAAAGTTGTCATTGAAATGCTGATCCATTATAATAAATCAACTAGTATTAGTGTACATGTATTTCTTTTATGTCATTGATCGTTCCTCATATCGATATGTCTATGTTATTGGCAGAATTGAGAAGTAATTCAATTCATATTCATCTGTGATGGTAAATATTTTTCCTGTATAATTAAGTCGAAATACAGCTGTCTTTATGACACGCAAGGGAATGTTCTATGGAAGTACTTTATAAAAGGGTAGTAAAGGAAGTCATAAAGACCATCCTTCCAGTTGAAATACTTAAAATATTTAAGATTATAAATGGAGGGAGTTTTAACTTCATGTTATAACTTAGGTACAAATCTTTTTATGTAATTATATCGTTTCCAAGATCCGCTTATGGAACTAATTATCTCGAGAAAGGTGGCTTCGACATAAGACAGAGCGTAAAGCTGTAGGAAATAATAGAATTAGATTCAATAGCTTTTTACCACTGGCGAAGCTTAGAGAAACTAATTTAGAAAGTTATGAATTAGAGTGTTGTTAAGTCTTGAAAGTCAGCATAGGATTTGGATGATATTGTAGTAAGGATAAGTGCAGCAAAGCCTATTAAGTGGCATGTAATGTCAAAGCTGACGGCTGGTCTGTTGCAGGAGCGGTACCAATGGAATGCCTGAGAATCAATAGTTCTAGAAACCAGACTGCTTGCAACATGAAATGGATCCTTTGCATACATAGCTCGTCACTGTCTCGGTTGACGTAGTTGTGGTCGCTGTGTATTTGGCTAACTCCTATATAGCTTTCTTTTATATTGGATATCTAGTGATGTTATTCTGAAGCTTTCCATAGAACTTATGGATGAGAAATCAAGCCCAGAAGAAACTGGTCAACTAGTCTACGAAGTGAGGATTTTCTTTTTACAAGTTTTATTTCAACTGTACCATTTTTATTGTCTCAGAATTATTCTGCTTCAGATTCCATGAGAAATAATTCAAATGAGTCATATATCTAAAAAGAAGCTGTCTTTAGACTGCTCTTTATTTTACAATTTTTGTCAAAAATTCTTTTGAACCAAATAACTTTAAGCATTGGAATTATTAACGATTTGTCACGCTTTTTAAAGCCTGGGTGAAATATATTATGAAATTCAAATTATCTTTCAGGCTGTAATGTATGAGAACGAAGAACTCCTTCGAGAACTACTGGAGGCCAATCCAGGGAAGATATATTATAGAGACAAACATGGTAGAAGCGCTCTACACATTGCTGCCCAAAATGGCAGCACATCCATCGTGGACCTTCTGATAAAAGCCGGAGGTTTTGTTCAATTATTATTATGATAGTCACTGATGCGTTATATATCTCTTATCTAATTCTTTTCTCAGCTATTTAGAAAGATATATTTCGTTCTGTGTCAAAAGGTATCTCAGTTTGAATGCATTTGTTCTCTTTTAATTATTTGTAGCGGACGTAAACAGTATGGCTGGTCCGAGTGCACTCTGTGCTACTCCTTTACATGTTGCCGCAGTTGCGGGACATTTGGAAGCTGTGCGACATCTAATTGAAGCTGGAGCAGAGCTTTTGGCTACTGATCTTAGAGACCATTGTGCATTAGAACTAGCGCAGATGGCAAATCAGTTCGAAACTGCTTGTATTCTTATCGATGCCATTGGTTTGTTTGCATAAACTATTATGTTGTTTGAGGTTTGATTACTTTCTAACGTGTATTATATTACATTAAGATCAGATAAGTAAAGAAAAAGACTGAAGAGCACGATGATTATTTGAAAACTATTTGTTTTTTTTTTCGAGTTTTGATTTGGAACTGTAGCTTTTGATTTTTGATCGTAAATCCCGCTATAAATATATAAATTCTAGAAAAAATTACTAGGAATATTCTTTGTGCGTGGACAACTATAAAAATATTTTAATTTTCACCTGACAGAGCGTTTAAAGAATCAAAAAGATTTAATGTTTGGCTGTGTCAATAAAATAACTGAATTTAACCAAAAATCATAATTTCATTATCTATCTTTTTCTGTAGTTTTTTTTTTTCATCTGTCTTTTTCTATAGTTTTTTCTTCTTTGTAGAATCAGTTCGCAACAGAACTCGTCAGCTGCATGACGATCTGGTCAAATCTGCGGAAGAAGGAGACGTTAGGTCTGTTGTAGAAGCTTTGCCGAACCTTACCGGTGCCAACTACGATGCTATACTGAATGGTGCGACTTTGGATCGCAAATGTGTTCTATATCTGTATGTTTTTTCTTGTATCGCTATCGTTCTCCATTTTATTGCATATCGTTGAATTGAAAAGATTATTCCATTTCACTAGATTAAAATAAGGCTAAACTTTACTGGAAATTATTGCAGTGTAGGAATAAAGAAGAAATATGATACAATTTTTCAAGACACAGACGAGTACGCATATGCACTTGGATTACACAAAAATTCATACTGAACATCCACACTTGAATGTCCAGCATGTATTTTTTCAAATATGAACATTTGTATAAAAAAACAAAATCATTCAAAGAATATATTCCAATACAAGAATTGAAAACCACAATTATTATTTTGTGAAAATGATAATTTTTCTTTGTTTATAAATGAAGCTCTTTTCTAAGGTAACGTGAATTAATCTTCAGAGCCTGTTTGAATGGAAGAAAAGAGGTTGTTGAGGCTTTATTGAACGTCCGGGGTCACACACTTATACAGCCAAGTACTCATGATACAATATTGCATGCCGCTATATCATCCCAAAAAGTAGCCATAGTAGAAATGATTCTTAAGGTATATCTTTGTATTTTCTTATCTTAATTCGTTTGTTACTGTTACTGAAGAATATGGATTTTAGGCCTTCACACATTTGGTGACTACAAAGAATGCGGACGGTAGTACAGCACTGCATTGGGCATCGCAGTGTGGCAGTTTAGATATCGTTAGGCTGTATGTTTCTTTCCGTAACTTTCTGTATTGCAAAATTGTCAGCAAATTGTGCATTTTACTGTTATCTTTTTAATGTTAATGATTTAATTTAATATTACTTATATATATTGACTATGTGATAGCGAAAGTATATCAATATATCTTTTAAATTTAAAGTTGTTCTCAAATTTTAAGATTTTGTCATAGAAAGTTATAAAAGATTGAGGAGGCAAATATGATTTGTAAATTTTGTATTTTTTGTTTTTTTCTAATAGTAACGTTAATCAGGTGCTTTTTTTTGCAATTTTCTGATTCAGGTTGCTGGAATTTCCATACGAAGAGGATGTTCTTACAAAAATTGAAGATATTTCCGGACGTTTCAGTTATCGTTTTGTGTTGGACGTTAACGGATTGGATGCACAGTGTCGTACCGCTCTATATCTAGCCGTGGCTAATTCGTATTATGATGTTGTCAAGTATTTACTTGAGGTTAGTATGATACTGCGAAAAGTATATGTATGAACGCCTATGTTTAGTATATTATCAGGAAACTTTTTAATGAAGAGGTTAGGGTGCCAACGGAATTTATATTGTTTGAATGCTTCGATATTTGGTTTGCTGATTTTTTCTTTTAGGTAGAGTTCCCATCGATGAATGTTGATCAGAAATGCCCATTCGAAGTTGATGTGTACTGCAGTGATGGAAAAACTCCACTTATGGTGGCTGCGGCAAACGGTGACATAGCTTTAGTGAAGTATATATTCTATTTATTGCACTTTATAAATCAGTTGTTTGAAGAGCAGTTTAGTTGCCAATATCCCAAAATTTGTTGAGTGGTTGCAATAAATTTTTTAGTTCGCATAAATGATCATCTTTGGGGATTTTAGGTTCTCAAATTTCACTTTTGTAATTTGCAGTGCCTTCTATTCAGTTCTCATCTCTCACTGTTTGGAATAAAATTATTAGGTTCGTTTAAGCTTAAGCTTACAATACTTTTCACGTTAATTTACTCTATTGTATATTCAAGATCTATTCACAGTTTTTTTCATATGCACAAATCATCGTAAAAAATTTCCTTTGAAATAACGTTATTCTAATAGATTTGTGATATCTGTATTAGGTTCCGTTTCTGTAAGATGTCCACTTTGTTCTCCAGAGAGCAAGTTTCTCTTTCAGTATTTCAGATATTTTGTGTGTTGAATATAATGGAAAACTTCCTTACTCTCTGTTCCTGACATAGCAACTTTGAAATTGTCATTCATGTTACAATCACTAGTATTAACATTCTTCCACTTTTTACTGGATCCAGAAAGTTACATCTCTATAATTTTTAGACTGCTGTTGGATCATGGTGCAGATGTAAATCTACCTTGTGGACTCACAGATGCAGACATCAGCAGTGTAGATGGTGCTCGATGTATTGGTTCTGGTGCTCTTAATGAAGCATGTCGAATTGGTTGTGTCTCTTTAGTGCAGCTTTTGTTCCAAAGAGGAGCTGTTGATCATGAGAATGTTGCTCTTGCTACGGCCTTCAAAGTATAGTTTTCTTATGGTTTCTGTTGAAAATTTTTTCTCTTCATGTTTTATTTCAGTATAATCAGGATTCATTGGCGAGATTATTCCTGTTGCGTCTTGCATTTGTGGATCCAGAATACCGTGTCAACAAGAAGAGTATGGATTTAGGACAATTGTCACTAAACCGTAGCCAGCTTCCTTCAGCTGTGTATCCCACAACACCATGCATGCTTAATTGGCATAATGCAAGTTTGGAGCGTGTTCCAAACGATTGGCTTATTGCTGCAGCCCTCCAAGTGAATCAAAGGTTAAGGACATCACGGTGAGTTGTTTTTATCAGCAGGTACTGTTATCACTGATTCCGTAAAACTTATTTAATGAAACACATTTTCATTTGCATGAAGTTCCTGTAAGCGAGAAAAAAATCATAGTGGGATTCGCCTATATCAAGTTTGCAGAATGGCATTAGCAGCTCTTACACGAATCGATTTATCGAAGAATAAGATAAAGGTGTTAAGCGGACAGCTACTACAGCTACCTTCATTAAGAAGTCTAAATGTAGCGAATAACGAAATCACAGAAATTGAGATTCCAAGTGATGGGTTTCACGCGCCGCTTTTGGAAAGCCTGTTATTGGAATTTAACATGCTCTCTGTTCTGCCAGACGAAGTATGTTATCTTAAATAATGACAAGTTTGTTCCTTATTTGATAATCTTGTTTAATCTTGTTTCTTTATTTTTGTGTAATTGCGTATTTGCTGACAGATATGAGATTGCAATTTTTTAAACTAGCTTAGGAGAGCCTCAGAACACCTTAGATTTTTTTCTTTTTTTGGAAAGAGAGCGGAGGAAGATTGTGTTTGTTTTTTCATTTTCAGTTGTTCACAAGCAGGCTGCCAGTGCTAAATTTCTTGGATGTATCCCATAACAAACTATGTTCCCTTCCGGAGACTTTATGGTTTGCACCAAGATTGCGAGAATTGAATGTGTCCAACAATGTTCTTTCCGTGTTGCCGGCTATTGGCTCTTTGCAGTTTCGACCTTCTAGTAGTCTTTCCGAAATCGAGCAGCCAGAATCACTTTATTCGGATTTATATACTCATCAAAGTACCTTATCAACAGATGACTCCTTGAGTATTGGCGGACGCAATGATGACTCAAACATTACTATTCATGAATTGAAAAGGTTGTTTAAAGATCGATTTTTCTTGAATTCTGCTACAGTTGCTTCAGAGGATTGAGTCAAATTTAACGAATATTATAATGTTTTCTGATACATTGAATATCTGAATTTTTTATTTACTTTAGGCACAATATATGGCAGACGAGCGTACGATTAGCTCGATCGGATGAATCAGATGCTGAGAATGGACTTGTATCTTGCTCTTCTATGATTTCTGTTTTTAATGTATCGCACAATAATGTATGTTTTATAATTGCTTCCAGCTTATTTGACATTAAATTTATAATCATGTTTAGATTATACGAAGGAAAAGTTTATTGTAATTATGCAGTAAGTGCAGATAAAGGCATCATAGTTTCTGGTTTTAGAAAGTATAATTTACATATAGGTCAAAGTAATGCCGTCGTGCTTGGCGTGTTGTTGTCCGTATTTAACCAGACTCAACATATCGCACAACCAGCTAACATCTCTTGGTCCGGTGCAGTGTTTACCTTCTCGACTGAAACACTTGGATGTTTCTAACAATCAGCTTATTACTGCTTTCGAGTGTCCAACTGCTGTGCAGCTGGTGTGTCATGCGGTCAACGCGCCATCAAATGAAGTTTCACCGATGAGGCATGCGAGTCCTTTACGTAATTCACGTAAGTTTATGATTTTGGGCGGCTTGATGAAATTTGTTAATGCATTTTTATTGCGAACCAAACGTGGAATTAGATTTTGCATACTTTTCGACTTCTATTCTGACCGGTTCGAGTATTCTCAATTACTGATCTATTTTCTTGTTGTCAAGGCTGAACTCTTCCTAAAACTTACTTTCGGTGATGTGGATCACGCAGATATTCTTGCTTTAGGATCTCGCTCAAAATCAGCAGTCCGTAGTCAACGCTCGTTAAGCGTTGCTCCTATTGGCGATACATTATGTGATACATTCATAGACGCTTGTTCTCATAAGCAGCATACTAGATTAGAATCGTTACGCACATTTCTGGTGGCGAACAATCGTCTTACGGAAATTCCTCTTCTTGTTCCCACTTCAAAGTTCATTTCATCTCCAAAAAAGAAGCAGCGTGAGAGCCGACAGAAATGTTCCGCGGTAGAGTTTGTTTTTCATATAGTTGATACAGAATGCTTAGGTGTATTGCTGATGCCTGCTCGGAATGATCGAAAGAAAAAGTGAGAATGAATAGCAATATTCATTCATCTTCAATGTTTTGTAGGCTAGAAGGCAAATACTATTTCCTGCTCTTACAACTCTTGATGTGAGCAATAATTTTATATCAAATGTTCCTGCAGCGCTGTCCAACTTGGTGTCATTGTGTGTGTTAAACTTGAGTGAAAACAGTGGCATTGAAATGCTGCCTCCAGAGTTGGGTCTGCTTAGTAAGTTTCATTCTTTCTTTATTACTTCCTCTAAGTCTCATATATGAGTACATAGGAAATCTCACTTTAGGTAAACTTTGGAATCTTATTCTGAAAGGTTGTTCATTGCGAGACCCACTAAAGAGCATGGTACATGTGGAGAGCTACAAAACTGTCGATTTGATTGCATATCTGAAATCTGTTTTGGAAGAGTATGTTGCTTTCATTAACAAATCCAATTTTCTTTTTTTTTTCTTCAACTTATCACTTATTTACATTAGAAATATTATGAGATAAAGAAAAAATTATGTTTGAAAGCAGTTTTTGCAGTTTTCGTGCAAAAACTGCTGTCAAATATAACTTTTTCTGTTCATTTTTTAGTTTCCTCTAATTTTAAATATTGAGTAACCAGTAATATTCGTGTTGCAGTTCTCGTCCGTATACACGTCTTAAACTGATGATTGTTGGAGTGCAAGGAATTGGAAAAACCTCACTTTTGCAACAAATTCGTCTGGAGGGTACTGTGGGCAAAAAGATACCACCAAACGATGTAGCTCTTTTGTTTCTTTTTTGCCTGCATTCTCTTTTATTTGTATCTAACTTTAGAATTCTTGAACTTTTGTACTGTGATTTGGATCCTGTCATTAATATTTTGTCGCACACTAATTTGGTTAATTTTTCTATCTGTGTAAAATTCTCTAAAGGTAAAAAATTCATAAAAATGGGCTGCAGAGCTGGTCAAAAAGAATGGGACGCAGTACAGGTGGCGGCGGTGATCGTACTGCAAAGGGTGTCAATATATCCACAGTAGGTGTTGACATTGCTGAATGGACCTTTGAGCCAAAAAAGACGAAAGGTTAGAAGAGAGAATTAAAGAAACTTCTGATTGTCGTAACATGTGGTGCACTAAGTTTGGAAATGTTACCCAATACATTTCCTTGGTCTTATAATATTTATTAATGCATTAATGGTTTTTTTCACATTTCTTCTTTTGTAATTTAGTTTCTAATCAGAGGTTTTTAGGTGAGCCTACTTTCGGTCCACTTACATTTCGTACATGGGATTTTGGTGGACAAAGAGAATACTATGCAACCCATCAGTATTTTTTATCTCGTCGCTCTTTGTATGTATTAGTGTGGAAGGTAACTGATGGTGAAGCAGCATTGCCAGATCTTCGTCAGTGGCTCGTCAATATACAGGTCAGAAGTTTAAACTTTATATTTCATTCCTCTTCAGTAACTCCAGTTTTGTCATTTTTTTTACAATCTCTTAGATGGTTTTCAATTTTTACTTTTACATCGTCCTTCCATCATTTTACATATGTTGTCCAGTGCTTCTGAAGTCTTGTCTCGTGTTTATAGGCTCGCGCACCGAATTCCCCAGTAATCATTGTTGGTACTCACGTTGACCAAATCTTTTCAAATCCTGAACGTTTTCCATCTTCTTATCTGGACAATTTAAACGCAATCATAAGAGGTTTGGCATGACATTAAATGCTGATAGAAAACTTGCAATAAGTTTTGACATAAATTAAGAGCATGTATAACAAAATTTTTTGGAGTTGTTCCATTTTTATTTGATTTATATGTTGAACAGTTTTGAACAGTTTTCAGCTGTATGGCTTCAGCTCTCATCATCTGGATATTTTTATAATGCATCTTTGTAATTATGACTTTGGGAGGATGAAATTTCAGATCACTTTGTAATGGTGCCAGACGCAGATAAAAAAGGTCTGCCACGTGTCGTTGAGTCACTATTTATCTCTTCAAAAACGAAACAGAATATTCGTATGCTTTGTAATTTGCTTTATCGAACAGCTTATGATATTCGAACAGCGAACAGCAAAGAGCGACTCCTAGATCAGAAGATTCCAGCTTCTTATCTGGCACTAGAAAAAGTAACTTTCATGTACTTTAATGTGGTGTCAACCTTTTTCATAATTTCTTCGTTGTAGGTTTTTTCTTGCATGGGGCTTAAGGAGTTAGTTGCTGTATTCAGACTATCATTTTTCAAGTTATTCATCTTTAATTTGTTATACATCCCGGCAGTATGTTTCAAACTCACTACTATCATTTATTAGATAGTGATCGAATTGGCAGATGAACGACGTTCGATAGGAATGGAACCAGTAATAAGGAGCAGTGATTTTCGCAATATTGTCCAAGAACGAATGTTAAAAAATTACGGCCGTGCTTTCCGTGATGACATCGAATTTAATCATGCCTGCGCATTTCTTCATGAGAATGGTTAGCTTTCTGTTTTGGAGTGTTTAATCTTCCATTCAAAAAAGAAAGGGAACAGCAGCAATTATTTTGTTACTAAAATAAGAAGCTACTTGTCGCAGACATATTTGGCGAGTGAATAAAACTAATATGCGGATAGACAAAGTGCTAAGTTTGATAATAATGTAAGAGAGTGTGGTTAAGCTCGATAAAGCGTTAATGATTTTTGTAGGAGTAATGCTGCATTATGAGGATGTGACTCTCAGGGAGTTATATTTCTTGGATCCTCAGTGGCTATGCGACATCCTTGCTCATGTAATAACAATCCGGGAAATAAATCCATTCGCCCGCAATGGACTTATGAAAATGGATGATCTCCAAGTGTTATTCAAGTCACTCAACTTGAACAATTCTGCTATTAACTTGAGGTACATCAGGTTATTACATATCGGGAACAATTTTTCTAATTTTCATCTACATCTTGATGTCACTTTGCAGGTCCCATATTATATCCTTACTGCAGAAGTTTGAGGTCGCACTATGCTGGCAGTCGCGTTCATTACTGATCCCTTCTTTGTTACCAGATGAATATCAGTTGAGAGGTGGTTATCCAGGTTCAAAAGTTATGGTCAGTTTTTAATTTACATTTGTTATAGTTTTTGAAATTTAATATTAATGTAATTCTTACTTTCAGAAGATGCATATCGGATAATATTAATGCTTCTAATATAAGCATTAGGAGATTTACACGGATGATTCTGTTATAATTTCGTTTACTAGTTCTCTAAGAGTTCTCTAGGCTGATACATGCTCATCTGGTGGAAAAGCACTAATTCGAGGTAAACAGAAACATTTTTCGTTTATGAATGAGATAAATTATCAAGTATTTGTCTCCATTGTTGTCTTTCTATTTTCATTTTCCTAGTCTTCATTCCAAAAAGTGCATAAATAAAATTTCATATATATATATATATATTCTCTCTCTGCTGACTAATCTTTTTTGTGTCTTCCTTTTAATCTAAATTTTTGAATTTAAGATGTCCTATTTCTTTTTCTTATCAATTGTCAGTTGAAGTCAGTATTATACCAACTTCAATTAAAGATTACATTAATGTAAAAACCATAATTCAATAAACAGTCTTGAATGAATGATAACTGAGATCATAAATTTATATTTTTAGATTAAAAAAATGAGCAGAAGCGAAAATTTACAGGTGCCAACAAGGGCTACGTCGTGGCAGTTGGTGGTTGAGCAGCGAGAAACGAGAAAGAGTCTTACAACGAAAGCACCACATCTCCAAGCATTGTTTTCTCAACGAAATTTGGGTGGTGCACGATACCGAACAGCAGTGCCGCTGACCACTCTTTCGGATGATCGCAGTAAATCTCCAGCATCAATTTCAAATGATCGCGATGAATCTGATGGTGGTGCCGAAGCTCGTTTGATTAGGGAAAGACATGGATGTATTGTTAATATAGAGTATCTGGAAGAGGTGAATACACTTTGGAAGAATTAGATTTTGAAATTAGTTTGCAGTTTTATAGTTTTTGGGAATGTTTCGTTGGTATAATTTAGTTAAGTGATTTAGATTCCCTGAGTCATGGTGCAAGGTTGTTGAACAAAGATATAGAGCAATAATTTGCACTAGAAAGCATTGGTTTCTATATTGCACTTATGTCTTTAATTAAAGAAGAATTATAGGAAGTGGTGCGTCGGATCTATATGATGGCATACATACCTTCCGGCTTTTGGTCTCGACTGATGACGCGCATACTTGTTGATGATCATATTACAATGTGTGTGGAGCGTTTATTGCGAGTTGAATACTTGTCAGAAGACTCTTCTTTAGAGACACTGAATGAAATTTGTGACAAACAGTTTCTTCCATATTGGCTACTTTGGCAGACCGGTTTCGAAGTATGTTTTTTTTTTCAGTTTTCCTGATACAAAAATGTTATTTTTAGTTTTTGCGATGATAAAAACTTCAATGTTTGTTTATCTGCTTCCCTCTCTCATGCACGATTTTGTGAAAGATCAGTGAAAGTCACTTTGCTGTTCTATCCTTTTTTATATATTATTATTCGTGTTCACGTGCCATTTATCTCTGGAGCAACAGTTATTCGTCTATCTCTCTGCTTAATCAAAAATAGATGATGCGTTTGATTATTTCTTAGTAGAAAATAAAAGGCGTGTATTTTCAAGTGCAATAAGTAATGAAGTGATTGCTACTGTACAGATATGTATGCAGTTTGCAAAATATGCTGTATGAAATCATTTTTTTTCTGAGGTTCCTTTATTCATTACATAATTGTTCCGAATTAAAATTGTTGTTTTTGGTTAGTGGAAAATAATAAAACTTTTCGAACCGAGCCATATGAAATGGGATTAAAATAGTTTTTTTTTTCTTACTCAGCTCTGGCTCTAATAAAATTATGCTTTCAGATCTTGGCGTTTGAAAAAACAATATTTGTAATGAGTCAATTTTTGCCGCTTGCGGAGGTGCGAGATGTTCATTATGAAATAGTTGATTGGTGTTGTTGTGCAGAGGATAGTAACTGGCGTACGCTGGACATGAGCGGTTCTTCACTAGTCGAAATTATCATTCCAGCAGTCAGGTTCCAATTGTGTTCAGTGCTTGATTTCGTCACCATATCAAACGAATGCAAAACCGTTTATTGTGTTTCAGAATAAATTTAGTGAGCGATGAAAAAGAATACGTTCTTCGAAGTAACCGAGCTGCAGTGACTCGTCTCTTGGCACTTATTGTGGACATTATGGATACGTTATTGGAAGACTGGTATGTATTTATCTATAGATTAGTATGTATTTTTTACGTTCAATACATTGAGCGATATGAAAGATATCTCATCGGACCCGAAACTAAATGATTTTGATAATGTATAGGATTCAGTGGTATAGATTTGATTCTTTATTAAGGGTGATTTGAAAATTTTCAGGTATCCTTCATTAGGAACACGCTTTGTACACACCTCAGAGGGATGCCTCCTTGTAAATCGTCTTGTTCCTTGTCTTAAATGTGCAAGCAATATGCGAAATCTGGACAGTTTTTTCAAAGTCAAGAAGAATGATGACGTAACATGGTGATTTTTGATTATAAAGTTTTGTAATTCATGAAATATCAACCCAGTTACCCATTTCTTTTTGTCCACTTTCTAATCTTTCTGGTAATACTTTTGAATCAAGTACTAGACTTTGATGAGTGGGCATTACTTCTTGCCTTCTTTATTCTTCCGCAAATAATGCTCCATTTTAGCGAAGTATTACCAAGGCAAAAGTTGCATGCATTCACGGTAGAAGAATGTATCCTTAGCGCCCATGACGGAGTCAATTTGAGATGTCCTGTGCACTCCGACATCTCCGTTGTAGACATTGCTCCTGACACTGTCTTTCTGGATATAAGTGAGGATTATCTGATTCAACCTACCTCTGTGAAGCGTGGTAAATTGCTTGGACATGGTGCATTCGGTTTTGTGTTTAAGGCCGCTCTCAAAATTTCGGTAAGATATTCGTCGACGGTTAAGGATGAATGATATCTGTTGGAGTATTTCATTTGTTTTTTCAAACATTTAGAACATTCTTAATTGCTTTTAATTTTAGATTTTTTATAAGTAATAGATGGAAAAGCTTTTTACAAATCAAATCACTGATTCTACCACATATTCCAGGATACAAATGTGCAAGATGCTGCGTTAAAAATGTTGGAACCAGTGGAACCGGGTTTGGGGGCTCGAACATCGTCTGTTTCAGCATATAAGGTAAACTTGTGTTGCGTTCATTCATTGACGAATAATAGTTGTTAGAATGTTTCATTTCTTTCTTCAAATGTATAGAGCATTTGTATATTACCGTTCTGTTAAGCTTAATAATTGCAAAAAATCGAGATTCTTTTTAGATTAATTTGACTTTATGTAAGAAAGAGTGGCAGCATAAATGATTTTTGGAGACAACTCAGTCATTTTGTTCACTTCGCGAGAATTAATCTTCATTATGCTGAAGAGGTATGATTTTTAGGCAGCATATACGAAATGGCAGCGAGATCCACTACAAAATGCTTGCCGTGCCTACTGTACCTGTCGGCAAGAGCTGAATGTGCTAGCATCACTTCAACATTCTCACATCACTGCACTGATGGGAGTATGCCCGCGACCTTTGGCTTTGTTGGTCGAATTAGCTCCTCTTGGTGCCTTGAATCATTTACTCAATAATTACCGGCGAAGCGGGGCCCGGTTACGTCTTAGTGTCATTCAGGATACTGCTAGTCAGGTTCTCTTTAACGATTTCGGACATGTTCAGTTAATTTCCTTAATATAGTTATATTGAAAAAATGTTTAATATAGTTTCTATTTTTAACAAAAAATTTCAAAATAAACGAATAAACAATTTCGAAATAATCTATGCAACAGGCATATCTGGATTAGTTTGAAATTGTTCGTTGAGTTCTCTTTTGCAATTTTCAGGTAGCTAAAGCACTGGAATATCTTCACGAGCACCGCATCATTTACCGCGACTTGAAATGTGAAAATGTGTTGACATGGCGATTTCCACCGCCGTTCAGTACTATAACGGATGTGCTCATTAAACTAGGTGATTATGGCATATCACGCAGCTCGTTTCCTTCTGGTGGTGCAAAGGGGTTCGGTGGAACAGAAGGTTTCATGGCTCCAGAGATAATGCGCTACAATGGGGAACAAGAATACACAGAAAAGGTAATATTTAAGTCAGTTATGTCTTTATTTACCGTTTTCCTCTTTAATCTTTTAATTTGTTTCTTAGTATAGGTAGACTGCTTCTCATTTGCGATGTTCTTGTACGAGCTGATCAGTCTCAAGCTACCGTTCAATGGCCATGAACAATTGAAGGAATATGTTCTGGATGGAGGGCGACCGCGGCTTACTCCTTCTGTGAGTTTTTTGATATTTGCTGATAACAGTTTTAAGAATGAATGAAATGAAAAATCCACTTCAATTATAAAAAATTTATTTGCTGTATTATGAGCTTATCTGCTGAGCACTAAACCATTTGATTTTGGCTTATTTATCAGATTTTTATTACTTAGAAAAAAGATTCATAAATCATTAACCATCATTTTACTTTATATAAAAGGTTCCTTGCATTATTAACAATTATACAGGAGATAAACATAAATTATTCCAATATATGAAGGTAATTTTTCTTCTATAATTGTTGTTATATTACAGGAATTGTTATATCCTTGCAACGTTCTCGATGTGATGGTTGTTTGTTGGGCAGCGCAGCCGGTGGATCGTCCTTCGGCGTCCCAAATTGTCTCTATGACTACGGCTCCCGAATTCACTCATCTTCTGGATGTGATTTCCCTAAACGATCCTGATTCGGCGGTTAATGCTAGTATCTCTTTTCCTAGTAAGTAGTTGATTATTTCTGCTCTTAATCAGGACGTCATCGAGAAGGATGTTGTATGAATAATCCTTCAAGCCATGACATGATTTTGATTATCAGTCTTATCGAATCTCAGTTTTGTGCGATTTGTCTGTGATTAGTAATATATTATCTACACTGCTAATGCTCCTTTTCTGTTTTGAATCCTACTTAATTGGAGTTTTCATAATAGTTCTTTAATTCTGTAGTCCTTCACTATTAGAAACTTTCGATGTGTTAAAGACATCATATGACTGTTTTTTCCAATTGGTTTGATTTTTAGCTTTGGATGACGTCGAAATGGGTTCCACAATAGAAGACAATGTTGAAGGTGAAGTTTGGATGAGTAGATCAGACGGGTCTGTCACTGTTGTTAGTTGCAATCAGTATGGTTGGCTAGATTCTAAGGTTACTTTATCGTTCATAAATTTTGTTGTTCGTCCAATTTTTACTGTTTGATTTTTTACTGTTTCTTCGGGTGCGGTTTGATAAGAGATACAGTGTGTGAAATCAAAAATTTTAGGTATTCTATTATCAGCAAAATTACAGAGCATCATTATGAATACGGACAGAACAGTAATATTAGCTATGTGTGTGGTCAACGATAATGTGTGGCTTGCAGAATCGACTGGAATACTGAGGATTTACTGGTTTGTTAATGTCACTTGATGCTCAGTCAGTTTTAATAAGAAGTCAGTAAAGGAAAATCTCTATTTTTCGTTCATATTTTTGTACTCTCAAAACTTATGTTTATAGTCGTTCATCGTACTCCGAAGTTTGGTCGTTCTCAATATCGCGTTTTCTTCCTGCTGCACATCTATCTATTAGTGTTATTTCTTTATCGGTTTTTATTACTGCTCCGCTATTGATACTAGTTACTCTTCCTTCTGCGTTATTGCTTGTGAAGGGTGATCGTGCTTCTGATAATCCTTTCGTTTCATCCATTGGTTTATCAACCATTCACTCATCTGCTGTAATCGACTGTGGCCAGAATGTGAAGTAAGCAGTTCTGTTATTTTTTTTTCATTGCTGCAATTAAATGAATTGATTGATTTACAGTTTACTATTTTTCAAACTTTCACTTTTCAGACTTTTTTTTGGTTATAAGTGATATATCCTTCTCAACCAGATTTCACTAGTTATTTGTTCCGTCTGATTAACTTGAGATTTATTCGTCACCTGATTAATTTATTTATGGTTTGAACAATAATGAAAATAAACATACTTGTTGTATATTAATAGGTGTGAATAATATATGTAACTAAGGAAAAGGAACATAGATCTTATCATCTCGATTTAAACTGCTGATATTGTTGTATTTTAAGTCATGTTTTATTTTCAGGCAGATATGGACAGGACACGATCATTCCTCCATATCTATTTATGATGTCAATTTAGAGAATCGATTAGTACTCGCTGCAAACATTTGTCATAATGAAAATCATATAGATGCTGCTGAGAAAAACTACGTATCACATATGGTGACTACTGGAGTAGATTCGACCCTGTTATGGTCTGTCCTCTCGCATGAAAGCAAAGTAATTTATTTATAAATACCATTGATAATAGTTTTTTTTAACAGAGTCGTTAATTTGCCTATTTCAGCATCCCAACTATTGTTAGGAGAGTGATATAGTGCTGATAATTTAATGTAAGTTTCAATAAGTTGTATCAAGAAAATATTCTTGATACAACTTTCTGAAAGTTGTAACAGTTATTTGATATAAAGTTATTTAATTTATCGTATTTGACACAAAATTTGATATAAAGTTATTTGATTTATCGTAACAGTTATCTGATATAAAAATATTGATTATAATTTTTTTTCTTACCAGCACTATAATTCTGAATGAAATAATGAGATATGGTTGTGCAAAGTATTAATGTGATTAACAAATCTATTTTCTGTTGACAATTATCTGTACTACTTTTTGGTTTGGGAAGGAATCCAGTGCATATCTTTAGGTGTATCAGTGGTCCACGGCATCGCGAAAGGTGCGTAATCGGCTCGACTCTCGAAAGATCTTGCCTTCCTCCGAATCAATTTCAACTTTGGATATTGAGGCATCTCGAGATGGTTATGTTTCTGCACTTGCGCTATCAGATAGGACGGATGGTGCACAGCTGTATATAGGAACTAGCAGAGGAGCAGTAATTGTTGCTCAAGCTTTCGAAGTAAGTAGAGTTTTGTTATTAGTGCACTGGTAACGCGCTTTAAAGCATAGGCCTTGAAAAGAGGAAGTTTGTTGTAATTTTGCGAAGAATCTATAAACATATATCAGCAAACTGTTTCATACAAAATGCGTTTCAGATACACATTTAATACAACATTACAGCAATATGAGAAATAAATATAAATTTTGCATATTTAATAATCTTTTCTGTGACTTTTACCGTTTTCCTATTCATAATATCATTACAGTTGTGAAAACTTTCAGCTATATGATAAATAAACTGGGCAGTTATGAAGCTTCAGTTAATATTTCTATACATCCTGACTACATGAAAGTTTTGTACTTGCGCTATTGAAAATGAAATAAATTAAAAATAACATCATTAACAAAATGATATCTATGTGTCAGTTCTGATGACCAAACTTGGAATCACTCATATGTGGTCCAAAGTCATTTACCAGACTAATTTGACTTGGAATGCTGAAATGTTTTGGAATTAAAAAGATATAGTGATCTTACATATTTCATCGTAATTGGTATCATCCGTATTATTCAGCTTATTGCTTTGTTAAATGAACTGATGGTCAGAAACTCTCTTACTATATTAGACAGTTATATTACAGATGCGACCACTTGCTGCATTCCGGCCATATGTGGAAGACGTACATACCATTATTGTACTGGACGTAGCTTCAGCCCTAAATGAATACATACGTACTCGTAAAGATTTCGTCAATATGACAAGTCTGGAAAGACAAAGTTTTGGTGCTAACAGTACTAGTAGCGGAAATGATATAGAAAATGTTAGCTGGGCGAAGGATCGAGTATCGGAAACAGTAGATCGTTTCAGACAGGGTACTACTGAACATGCATCTTCCTTAAATAGTTATATAATTACGATTGGAAATGGGTACAGGTTCGTTAAATTTTTGATTTCGTTAATTCATTGCATTTGTGGTAAAGTTCAAGATTTAACATTTAATAGTACTTGATTTAAATTATTAATTGCTGTTTATGACAAGTGACAGTTTGTCTTCAATAAAAAATCTAAGGGTATTAAAATTTAGGAATGTTGCACATTATTATAAATCATCTAGATAACTTTCAGATGTCTGATAGATCGATTTACGGACCGGAAACACCAAAGATCAACTATTCCTCGTCGAGAGTCACACTGCGCAATCATATGGCGTACAGATGAATGGGTTCCATAATTGTGTTTGTTTAATGTTTAGCTACTGCAGCCAATTTGGCAGATCATTACATATCACGTCACTCCATTTTTTTTTGTCATCTTAGATAGATAGAAAGTATAAGTTTACTTCATGCCTTTCTAAACTCTTCTGTCGCTTTTCTGAAAGATTTTTTAGATTGTTGGATTTTTATCTTTCTCACTATGCTATAAACACCCATATTTTTTTCTTCGAAATTGTTGGCAGTCATATTTACAAAAAATTACGATTTGGTAAAGAGCTCTTTCGAAATCATCCTTGTGTTTATTGTTTGTAGTTTTGAATTATTCATTGATTCTTTGGCATGTACTTCATGTCAAGTTCTTAGTAAAGAAAGGGGAATGACTGCTACATTGTGAAGTGCTTTCAGATACATATTGCACTGTATCATAAGTGCTAATATCTTCACTGTTTAAAATTCGGATTTCCTTAGGTTGTGCATCCGGTGAATTTCACGCTGCATATAATCTTGATATTTGTTCTTTCTGTTCTACTGTCATTGTGCTTCTTTATTGAAAATATGTTTCGAGATTTCTCCAGTTCTGCATTGATAAAATTTGTGAAATTTTGGATTACTCCATATTCTGCTCAGAGTTTAAGCACGTATTAGAAGTTTTTTAGCAATTGTATTTCTTACAATTTTGGTTGTCACCTATGGTGCTTGTGGAAATATTATATGAAATCTTTATTTTTCAAGATTTATGGAAGAGATATCGAAATTTAATTGGGAAGAATAACAGAAGAGTGAATGGCATTTCTGCGATCAACAGAATCGAAAAAGAAACGAACTGCCAGCACACTGGCTTGTCTCCTTCAGGCTGTGAAAGGTAGTTCGATAGTCGTTGAGCTGAAGGATTTTTCTACAGTACAAGGTTAGACCTCCTAATACATTGATCATACATTATTCGGATCATGAGTTATCCTTGTAGTTACAAAAGTTCTTTTTTGGCTTAGTGATAGGATCTACTGCTATTCAAGAACGGATCTTTATTATCTTCAATCCCTTCCCGCTTCTTTAGCTTGATTACGAATAAGGAAAAGAAGAGTGAGGGAGTAAAAAAAGATTCAGATTTTATGAAATTTTTTATCATTGAATCAGAGTTCATCGTTAAATCCGGTTCTCATGACTTGTACTATTGCCGCAGTTACATGTAAAGTGATGAAATCGCAGTGCAGCATCACATCATGTTTTTTTTTTTCTGCATTAGCAATATCAGGAGTGTTTCACCTTTCTCCTCAGTCGTAACTCTTTCCTATTATTTTTATAGATATTATTATTCCAGCTAAAATGTTGTAAAAATTATTGTTAAATCGTAATTTCAGGTATTCTGGTACATTGTGATGATGCTATGAATGTAGAAATGAAGGCCGTTACTATTCATGACTTCAAGCACCATATCATGCCTCTTCATTGTGATAGTTTCTATATACAAGGCAAATTTATACGTTTCGTACACTTCAATCATTATTTCAACGCTTCCAAAGTAATACACAATGAATTAAATGTTCCTCGAAAGTTCGAGAGATCATTAAGGAAAAGAACATGCTAGATTATGTGTTTATCATATGGTTAAGATTTTGATCTTGTATGTATTTCAGCATCTGATTTATGGGCGTTATGATTTGTTATGTTTCCTTTATTGCTTCCTTTAATACATTAATTGAGTGATTAATTTTAAACGAATGCAAGTAACAGCAACGGTATCTGATTACCTAGCATAGTTCCTTTTACCTGTACATAAAGCAGGGAAAAAGATGGTTTGTTATGTTCCGCCTTCCGGTAAGTGCTTCTTTGAAACAGCACGATGTCACAGTCACTATTACGGCGCTACTGATTTACCAGTATCATAATTTCTGCTAGTATCTATCTATATGAACATGAGAATCCATAGTATTAGTCTCCCACTGGACTGATATACATGCATCTTTTTTTTTTATGTTGTGCTTCTAATTGCGAGCGAAAATTGGTGTACCATACAGGCTACACAACACCTATAAGAAACCAACTCATTCAAAACGTTGAAGAGTCAAAAATGAAAAGGAACAGACCAGACTTGAGTATAAGCGAAAGAAATCATATTAATTGTTGATGACACATTCTTAGAAGATCTGAGAATTTAGATGTTCTGAGGATGTCTTATTCATAGGAAAATTAAAGGAAGGGAATTTTTCCCAATTTATATAATATTTTTTACTGAGATCTTGACATCATCCTGCCATCATTTTTTTGTAGTACGAGAAAATGATGATTGCATGATTTCGAGATTTCTGCTAGATGTATTTGCCGAAAGCATTAAGCATGATGAACAGAATTATTTGATATTTATTTATCCGATAAACACTAGTAGTAACTTCTGTATTTGGTCCACTGTGAGGAATAATCGAATTGATTGCGATTATACAAATCCCTCTATCCAAATTTAATGAATAGCTCGCACTGTCCATAAAATGATAAGTTAGTGTTGTTTTTATATCCTTTTTGACATTGTACGTAAATCAATCCCATCCATTCATCTCATTCAATCCCTCTCAGAAAAATACATCAAGCTCTGTTGGGATTCAGATTTTCGGAGTGATTAAGGCATAGTGATAAAACACTACCGTAATCTAGAGATCTATGCTTCTCCGCGACATGATGATATGATTGGTGTGGTTGGTAGGGATTGTGTAGGTTGCGTTGCGTAGGTGTTATTCATAGCGTGGCTCGAGATAACGGTTGACAGCTGGTTTGTTTTTCTATTTCATTTATTTTTAGTAAGTTAAATAACATGGCCTACAGAAGAGAGAATATGCGGGATGAGAGCGACGTTTTTCGCAAAATTCGCAATGTCTTCACTTCTTTGAATGACAAATTGTAAGTCGTTATATTTTCATAGCAGAAATTAAGATTTGCCTCTTAAATCCTAGCGTAGAAGCTAACATTAACTGCCAAAAACCAGGTCACAACTTACTAGTTAAACGTACAAACAATATCTTTCTGTACTAATGCTATCTGGACTCCTTTCATTTCATTCTTTTTTGTGCTGAGTGGAATCAGATGTGATTTAGCTCCAGAAAATTTTTTTGCTTTCAATTTTATTAACTTATTTCAAATTAAGTTAACTCTACTAACCTCATTATCTAGGGAGAAGGATGTGCAGGAGCACTTACGAGCTGTTTATGGAACTTTGGCATTGGGATTGGTAGCAGCAACCGTTGGAACTCTGCTTCATTTATTCACCAATATTCTCCGTGATAACTTCTTTCTTTTGTTTGGTTCTATCCTACTAATGATAGCACTGTTAAAAACTCCACATACTGGTGGTAACGAACGTAAACGACTTGGATATTTTATCGCTTTTTGTGCTCTCTCTGGTACGTTTTTTGTTAATCTTTTACGTAAATTTTGTCAATGAACAGATTTCAATTTTTTTAATTTCTTTTGCATTCCAATTCGATAATGTCTACTTGCTTTTGAAATCGTTCTAGGTATGAGTTCTGGTCCGCTCATTGAGAAAGCTTTGATAGTCGATCCATCAACTATTCTCACTGCATTTCTTGCCACAGCGATTGTTTTCAGCTGTTTCACGATGTCAGCGTTGCATGCACCTTCCACAAAGTTTCTGCATCTTGGAGGTTTTCTGCCCGTTTTCTTGTTTTTTGAAGTATAAGGTGTTTGATAAAGGATTTATTAAAAAGGGAACTGTTAATCGTAATGTTTTTACTGTGGTAGGAATCATTACTTCTGGACTGCTATTTATCATGATCACGACGATTTTCTCAAATTCCGCATTTGTGCATACCACTTGTCTTTGGTTAGCGTTTGCGATTAATTGTACTCTGGTACTTTATGATACGCAGCTAATTTGTGAGAAGCGTCGTCGTGGTGACACGGATTATATATTGCACACCATCGAACTTTTCATCGACTTCATCAATTTTTTCCGTTATATACTTGCTGTCCTTAGTGAAAAGAAGGTATGGTTTTCTGTTCGTTATCAGGTTATTCTTCAGTTAAAGCATCAAGCTACAATTTTTAAATGCGAAATCCGATTTTTTATTTCCTGGATTATATAAATATATTATCGCACTGCTGTTTTTAAAATGTTAATTTAGAATCTTATTTTAACAGTTGTTCCTTCCTCAGTTCCACTCTCCCTTCTAAGTAGGACCCTAAAGTTGAACTTATTAGCTGTGTTTTTTGTGGAATACTGATAAGTGAGTTTCCATAAATGCATTATTACAGATGGTAGAACAGCTGATTTACTATAGTTTTTAGGAGAGAGCGAACCGTAAAAGAAATGATTGACGAAACAACAGGAATGGTTCTTCTATCTGATTTTTTCATTATGCGCTTTTTTCTTGATTTTTGTAACTTTTTCTATACTTGTATTCAATAAAATTTATCTATTATGTAGTTCATTGCACGAAAAGCATTGAGATGGAAGGTGTCGTACTGTATCTCTTTATGATTTAAAAGAAAGTGGAAGTGAAGAATGCAGTTTTTATTTTTATCTGTAATACCTCTCAGAATGAATCTGGAAGTGCTGTGCGTAAAAGGGATGTTGTAAGTTCTCATTATAGGAATGAAGGATAAGTTACCAGAGGGATATGCTCCATCTGCGTTGTTGTGTGGTCCATGTGATTAGTAGGCGCTTCATTTACTGCTGGGAGGTTTTAGCTTTCAAAGACAGCAACCCCTACAGATAATGCTATAGCATTGATACAAACTATTTTGTATGCTTTCTGCTTAACTAAAGAGTGTAGCTTGCTTGGTAGTTCTCTGTTCACAAGGTAATATTTTGGGAAGGAAAACATATTGACGGTTAATATAGTATCTTTTTGTAATTTCATAGCTGATAACATATAATAAGGTACCTCAGATTGTATATAGTCATAGAGGGAGGAGATGTATATGAATAGTTTATAACTGAATCGAGTGGGAACCCGAAAATGGTAACGATTTTCCGGCTGTAACTATTATGGAAGACACCGTTGCTGATGTTACTCTATTTCCATTGTAGTTTTAGTCTTTTAAAGTAAGTGATGTTTTAGTAAGATTTTCCAGGATGCCAAATGTATTGTTGATTATTTAGAGACGTGAAGAAACGGAAGGAAAAATGAATTCGGGCGATGATTCATCACAAGATGGCGATTTTCGTTCTGATGTATTGGCGGTTAGTTATACAGCGTTCCGTTCATGGTAATTAGGCCTTGTGACGAGTGAATTTTGGATCTGCGAAGTAGTTATTTATGGATTCATGATTTATTGAAATAAGATTGACACTTTATTTCCTTAATCACATGTTATCTTTCAGGCCGTTGGAATGACACCCGGCGGTAGCTCTTCCTTAAGTTTAATCCAGAATAAAGGTAGACATGCTGATCGATTTTGGGTACTTCCTGGAGAAAAGATACAAATTGAGGGTGTGTTGGTTATTTAAGCTTTTCTAGATGGATATTTCTCTTATGGACTTTGCCTAAAAAATTGTATCAAAGAAATGTAACAGTTGTCCAAATCGTTTTATTGATCTGCTTTAGTTTTATTTATAGGGTTTGTGGTGATGGAATTTAGTAATCGCGTTAGCGAAATATTCATCAGTTTTGCCCCTCTAATTAATTAACGATTAATTATTTGTAGGCGATAATTTATTCATTATTGTCAAGTAGCTATATTATTATTAGCCATTTGCAGAGGCGAACATTGGTTACATGTCACCTGTAGGAAAAATAAACGGCAGGGTGCTTGTTACTAACTACCGACTACGTTTTGAAGCGAAATCAACCTCCGAAAATCGGCACAGCAAGGTTTATTGTTTAAGCATTTCAAACAGTGGATGAATTGTTGTTCGAGAAAGATGAATCATTTATAATTGGCTGATGGTGACATAAAGCTTTTTCAGTGTTGTCAATTTGATATACCTCTTGGATGTATCTCACGAGTTGAAAAGGTTGGCTACTCAACGGTGAGCCGCGGCGAAGATTCTTATGGACTAGAGATCACCTGTAAAGTAACCACTTTTCCTGAAAAAATCTGTTAATGCTGATGGTGCCTATCATTGTTTATATGTTTACTGCAGGATATGCGTAATATAAGGTTCACTCATCAGCAAACGAACCACAGTAGACGTCCACTTTACGAAAGCCTACAGCGATTTGCTTTCCCAGTCACCAATAAAGCTGTTAGTTCCTTTCGCGAAGTTTTTCATGCAGAAGACAATGCTGTTTTTCTCTTCATTACTATTGTCACTAGTTCCTTTTTTCATTATTTCAGATATCATTATAAAGTTGCATTGGAAAAATGAAAAATGGTGGCACATTATTTTTGACTCTTTATCTGATCTAGGGTGAATCCATTACATTCTATATAATCAATACCTGTTAAGTAATGAATTCATGATTTCAGTCCTTCTTTGCTGCTTCTTTTAAGCCTGATTGGACTTTTGATGGTTGGAAAATTTACGATACTATTCGAGAACTAAATCGGATGGTAACAGATCTATTTTGTATTAAATAATTAATGTCTTATGTTAGAAAAATGTTATGATTGCACATCTAATTTTAATTCACAGAATCTCTGACAAGAAATTTTGACTAGATGGTTAAATGTACTGATTATTGCAGAATGTACCCAACGAAACTTGGAGAATCACGAAGATAAATGATCGATATGACTTCGCCGATTCTTATCCTGCTTTGGTAAATTTATCGAATGTAATCTTCATGTTCTCTTAGTAAGATTATTTTTTATTAAAAGAGTATACTGATTATCGAATTTGAAAAAAGAAAACATAAGTGACTCATTTTGCATATCAATAGTTCTATTTCAGTTAGCTGTACCAGCAACAGCTGTGGTAGAAGGTGAAGATTTTTTGCAAAAAGTTGCTGAATTTCGAAGTAAGCAGAGGATACCTGTAAGTAATCGAATTCATGTCTAAATCATTTTGGCATATGCTTTGATAACTTTCACATACATCCCAACAACGCGATATTTCCAGGTCTTGTCGTGGTTGCATCCTACTTCACAGGCATCAATAACACGATCATCACAACCAATGGTTGGAGTTACATCTCGAAAATCTGCAGAAGATGAACGGTCTTATATTTAATCTTATAATGCACTTATGGAAAATGATAACATTTAATTTTCTCATCCTTAATAAATGAGTCAGTTGTAAAAATGTGCTCCAAACATAGCTGAATAGTTTAAATACTAGGATATTTTTCTTACATGGTATGAATTTGTGGCATATCAGTTTATAATTGATTATATAAGTTAGGAATTTATTTTCAGATATTTGCAGATGATTGTTGAAGCAAATGCTCATGCCCATCAGCTTCTTATATTTGATGCTCGTCCGGCCGTCAATGCGAAAGTCAATAAGGTGCATTTGAATAGATTTTTCTACATTACTTCCAAAACTGGTTGTATTAGTTATAACAGATGTCTTGTTTGGTAACTGGATTTATAATTTTTAGACATCCACAGATGAAAATAATTTCTTAAAAAGAAATATGTATAAGTCTATAATTTATAGGCAAAAGGTGGTGGTTTTGAAGATTCATACTCCAACAGTCGATTGATATTTCTGGATATACAGAACATTCATGTAGTTCGAGAATCGTAAGTCTAC